AGTGACAGAAGCAATTCTGAAGTTTTCCCTTCCACACTAAGCAGGTGACCAGCTTGCTGCATCCCTCCTGAAGGAGCTACCCTGGGGGAGAAGAGAAATTGCCGTTGCCTCCGATCTCGCCTGTAGATCAGGAGCGGTTGCACCTGCGGAAGGTTTGTGTCACCATCTGCTGTTTGCAAACCAGACAGCATCGGCGCGAGCCGGCGCGCGAGCCCGGGCTCGCCTGACGGCGCCGAGGCACCGGCCCGCGCACGACAGGCTGGGGTCGTTGGCGCCTTTCCCCTCTGCTCTTCCAAGTCCTTAGCGCGGTTTCTCCTTGGTCGGAAGTGGGAAGAGAATTTGTTCTTCACTAGAAGAACTTTACAACAACGACGACTCAAAAATCTTAAAATCAGTGAAAATTGGAGGCTGCAGCTGGGCAGCCCTGCTCAGTCCTGTCCCACCAGCCCCTTTCCAACGTCACCCACCGCATTTCCCATGCCTGACGCCCTCCCCGCGCGTCGCTGCACGAGCCGGGGGCTCCTTTTGTAAGCGAGCGGCTTCTTAGCCCAGCCCGGCTCCACAAAGGACCTTTTACATGTCAATTTATTTCCAGACAGGCATATCTGGAAGAGAGTTTCCCCTCAGCCTCAAGCGCGGTCATGGCAGGTGTTGCGGGGCAGCACAAAGGGAGGACGGTGGCGACGGGGTGAACTTAGGCGGTAAGACAGCTTGATGTTTTAATAACCAGGGGCCAGAAAATGGGCAGGCAGCGGAAAATGGGCTGCCTCCAGCGTCCGTTGAATGAAGGTTTCATTCAGAGCCCCCCACGTGCTTGCCAGAGGCGACCTTGAAATATTTGCCATGTTGGCTTTGCTTTAAAAGAGGGATTAAACTGGGGAATGTTGCACGAACGCAGAGCGGCCGCCCCGCGTACCGGCACGCACGTGTCCAAAGCCGCTGCCGGGAAGGTGGTCGCCTCCGGCAGCGATGGGATCCGGGAAGCAGCCAGAGCAGCAACTCGCAGCCTCCGATCCATAAAAGTCCAGGGAAAAAAACGTTTGCATGGAGCAGCTCAAAGCTGAAGGTGTTTGCGTCAGCCAGAGCCAAGCTTTGACTCGACACAACATCTGCAAAGTGAAATTTCACCAAGAAAAAGAGAGAAACAGAGAAAGAGAGAACGAGATGCTCTCTGATGGGTCAACCTCTTTCACAACAGAAAAAGCTGCTGGTTTATATCCCAAAGAGAAGGTTTTCACCTTCTTTTATAGAAGTTGCATTACATGGAGACACATGATAGTATTTCCAGGGTCCAGGCCCTGGGATTACATAATATTTCTACAGAGCTTGATTCCAGGTAGACTCAGCTCCTGGGGACTCGATTCTGGGAGCTCTACTCCCTTGAGCCTTCGTGCACACTTACAGGACAAAAGCTTGAAGGTCGAGTTGACCATTAGGCACCTGTAATAACACAAGCCCTTCTCCTCATAAAGGTTTCTTTATGCATAGAGATCAAATGCACTTTTGTCCCTTTTTAAATCAAAAGGTACCTTATCTATCTATCTTCTTCGTGCCAAGTTAAAGCTGGGTGAGAAGAAGCCACTGGACCCATTATAAACATCTGCAGGTCTCAAACAGAAGGATCAGCAAGTTCATTTTTATTGAGCACTGCAATTAAAAAAAAAAAACAGCACTTAATGTTTTGGAGCTAAAAATCCCAACTTATTTTCACTTGTGGAAGGATCACTTGCAACAGCTTAGTTAAAACCACAGAACGCGGTTTAGCCCTTCTTGCTCTGTTCCCAAGGGCTGTAGGTCCAAGATACAACGGAAGCAAATACAGGAACCCCCTGGACTGAGCAGCGAGGCCGGCGCTCAATGCAAGAAGTCCTGGATGGGGGCAGCTCTGCAGCAGCTGCAGGTGGGTCTCCTTCCTTGGGCTCTGCTCTCCGTTGGCTTTTCCGACCTATCCTTGAGTTGTTGCCGCTTGGCCTCGCACCATCACAGAGAGGATCACGCAAAGGACGTAACATCCATCCCAATTAAAAACACCGTTTCATATGAACACGCCAGTGGTTTAAACACACCGATGGGAAACTACCATTGGAGCAGTGCAGTAATTTGGTTTTAGGGCTGATCCCGACCCGCGCTGCTCGGAGGCTCACGGTGAGCACCAGCAACACACCGGCCTCCATGAACCTCCCAAGAACCCCCTCCTGCAGCGCAAGGTAGGAAATATCCTTAAAAACTGCCGGGAGGCACCTGCCTACAGCCCAACATCACCCATGGGGACAAAGCCCAAGCTCCCAAGAGCTGGATGGGAGCGTTAATGGTTGTTTAGGGCACTCGGCCCTTGTGCACGGTTATCCCAGCGCGAGGTTGTAGTAAACATAAGGCAGCTTCCCTGGCACCAGTACAAACGTGGTGCCAGAGGAGAAAGCAGGAATTTTTGATGAAGGCCAAAGCCACCAAGGGGAGCGACTCCAGTCCTCGCTGCCATCCGGCCAGGCCTCCCGCACCCAAAGCCCATTTCTTTCAGCACAAAAATTGTTTTCCTGGGCAGAAGCTTCTAACTCAATCCAAGGAAACAACGGGCTGCAGAGAAACACTTAGCAGTTCACCTCACACCCTTCCCAAAGGTACTTTTCTTCTTTGCCAATTCCCAAAGCACAACAACCTTTGCTGCTTTTGGTCGCTTTCCTGAGCACTTGCAGCCTCCACAGCCCTTCCAAGCCTCCCAGGAAACCCACCAGGGAACCAGGAGAGCTCCAGCAATTCCCTGCAAATTCAACTGGATCAGGAAATTCCTTCTAGCACAGCTCTCCTGCAAGTGGTGGTTTCTATTTAAGCACGGTGGTAAGAAGTTTCCCTTCTCCCCAGTCCCCACCTTTCATGCCTAAGACTGTAACTTGTTCTAATCATTTCCAACTGCAAAGCATGGGATTAAACCTGAGAGAAGGGGGCAAAACATGCAGCCCTCCTGCAGCACTGCTGTTCTTCCCACCAGGAGAGACACCTGCAATTGGGAAAGCTTCACACATCTCCCAAAGGCAGCAAGAAGCAGCAGCCCCATAGTGCAGAGCGGGGAAGGACGAGGGACGCTTCTTCTGCAGCTAAAAGTCAGTCAGTAAAATAATATCAACTGAATGACATGTTTATTGTACAATTCAGAAAGAAACCCTGAGTTACCAGCTGTAGAACAAAGTTAAATTAAAAAAAAGGTACGAATTGCTTCACAGATTCCTGGTAAATGAAAGCCAGAAATGGAAAAGGGCAGCAGCCAAAGCCAGCCCAAAAAGCAGCTTCGCTGCAGGGAAGGGTCGTTGCCATCCCCACCGGCTCAGGTGACCAAAGGGAGCACCGGTGGGGATGGGGAATGCACATGAACATGGAGAGGTGGGAGAAGGAAGGAGCCAAATCTAGCAGGGATTCGGGACAGTTGCTCATCTAAGGGAGTGTTTGGAAAACACTCGCTTGGTTTTGTTCAGAGAACAGCCCCAGGGCCTGGAGAGGGCAGGAGAGAGAGGAAGTGGAGTCTAAAAGTCAACAGCGACGCACACAAAAAGAAGAGAGAAAAAAAAGTGAAGGAGAGGGGAGTTCTTTACAAACACGAGTGCTGCTGTAGGAGTCTGTAAGTCTGAACTGGGAAGGACGTACAAAGTTTCAAGAGAGGAGGAAACCCAAAGCCTAAAACCCAACCATCACGCGGTCTTCCAGCTGCACTGGAGACCAGCTCTGAGACAGGTTCTAGCTACACCAAAGATCTGGCCCTACACACAAGAGGCTGAATCAGAGCTGCTTTTTTAGTGCCGCTTGACACCAGTTATACATTCTAGTTCTCATATACACAGATGGATGTCTTTAAAAATTGACAATTTACACTTCAAAAAAGTTTTACAGTGATGTTCTCTCAGTAAAGATCAGTCCACACAAAGAGGAGTCAGTCTTTCAGAAGGAGAAAGGCACTTGGCCTTGATGTGGATTTAGAAGCAGTCCCCAGGAGCTCCTTTGCAGGTATTTTCTGCCCCGTTTCCTGCGCCCGTCGCCAGCAGCTCGTGCAGAGCCGGGTGCGAGTGCGATGCCCAGTGCTGCTGCAACCTGCCCGGCCTTCACAGGGTGGTGGAAGGGAGTTTCTTCACCCGCCTCTGCGCCAGGATGGAGGATTCGATGGGCTTCAGCTGGGGACTCGGTTTGGAGCTGTTCAGCGCAGAGTAGGTGGCAGCCATCGCCTCCTTGGAGAGAAGGCACAAGAGTCACTTGGAGGCAAAACGAGTATTTTCGATGCCCTCAAGATGAGGGAGCAGAAGAGCCTAGCCCCCAGATAAAGCCAGAAACATTTATTTTATTGAATCATCGATCACTGAATCCTTAAGGTTGGAAGGGACCTCTCGAGGTCATCTAGTCCAACCCCCCTGCACACGCAGGGTCACCTAGAGCACATGGCACAGGGCTGCGTCCAAGCGGGTTTGAAGATCTCCGGAGAAGGAGACTCCCCAACCTCTTTTTTTTTTTTTAAATCCTCCTCCTTTCCTGAGGTAAAGGACCTTCCTAGGTTTCCCTGACCCCCAAAGCAGTTTGCCCTACACTGCCTGGCGCGGAGCTCTCCAGCCCCACGTCCTGCTTTGCTTGCACCGTTCCGCCCCGCTCCGGCCCCGCTTCCCGAAGACCGGGATACCCTGGGGAACCTGCAAGCGCCCAGCCTGGCTCCGCACCTTGACCAGCTGGACATCCTGGTGGTTCAGCTGGCTCTGGGGCAGGCTCTCCTTCTGCGTTATCCACGAGTGCTGCAGGACCTGCTTGGCTGTCAGGCGCTGGTGAGGATCTACGTGAAGCATCTTTGAGACTAGATCCTAAGGGGATCATGGGCAAAGTTAGACTCTTGAAGACTTCACATTCTAAATGAAAATCTACCCCAAATTAAGATTTAAATGCAGAGACCGAGTTTAAAGCCCCAAATCATCAATCTCTTAGTGCACTAAACCAAAGCAGACGAAGCCACATGTCGATGGACAGACGTATGGAGTGAGAGCTGCTCCTTTTCTGCCTCTTCTGCCCTCCCTCCCCAATCTGCTTTAAAGCTGCCTGGCAGCAACTGGCCACGCTTCAGCGCGATCCTTTAGGTTAACCCAGATGAATATTAAAATCCTACCTTGGCTGCCATCGAAATAGTGTCCCAATTACCACCACTGACTGAGAACTTCCCCCCGCCTATTCGGCTCAGGATCTCTTCGGGGGTGTCACTGGGGCCGTTTGCAAATGGGGTGCAGCTGAGAAGAGGGAAAAGCAGCCGAGTTACTGCCCTGCAACTGGGTCAGGGACTGGTCCCAGTTAACCCCGACCAGGACAGAGAGGTGCCCACGGCCACAGCGGAGCTTGTCCGAGCGCGGCTCCAGCGGGACGCCGGGGCCCTTACCCTGCTAGCATCGTGTAAAGGAGAACCCCCAGGCTCCAGATGTCACAGCCCTCATCATAGCCTTGGCGTTTTAGTACCTGAGCAGAATAGGTAAAGAAAAACAAAGAATTAAAAAGAGCATCTCTGCTTGCTGTCACAGAGCTTGGTTCAGCTTGTGAAAAGCAGCCTGAACCCATGTGCTATCTGTATGCAAAGCTCCTGCTGGAGCCCTACTGAATAGCAAGGTCATGGACTAAAGGTCAGGATTCAAATGAGCTTTTTGTTTCATGGAACTTGGGAAACCCCCCAGGTGCATCAAAGTGACAAGCAAGAAAGAAGCCGTGTGCCAGTGCAGTGACATTGCGCGTATGCTCTGCTGGGTGCCCGGTCTTTCTCTTTCCTCCGCTTCGCTGTAGCTGAAGGGAACACAAAGTCCCTCTTTCAACAGGTCACTTAATCAGCAGGAGAAACAGCCCACAAAAACCAGCAGGATTTTGAAGTCTCACAACTCACAGAGGGAGAGCGGTAGAGGACTGGGTGCAGCTGTGAGAGCCCACATCTCCTCAGCCCTACAAGTCCTGGCACTTCTGCAATTAGGGCTCATGAGTGTGCCAGGCAGCCTCCACGGGCAGGCCCATGTGCACAGATGAGGGCAGGGATGCCAGAGCTGTGGGAGGGTCTCAGGGCGGGAGGGTCTTACCTCGGGTGCCACAAAGTTTGCGGTATAGCAAGGAGTCATGAGAAGGCCGTTCTCGGCCCTCAGCTGCTTAGCAAAGCCAAAGTCGCAAATGCGAATGCTCTCTGGGTTGCCCGACTCATCCACGTAGAGAATGTTGCTGGGTTTCAAGTCTCTGTGGACCACCTATGGAGCAAAGACAGCATCACCCTTGCATGCCAGGCAGATGCAGGCCTCAAGCTGCATCTGGACACCCAACCCCTGCTCCGGCCCCACATCCACCTTGCCAATGCCGGGGAGAAACGGCAGTGCCGACAGCCCCAGCTGCACCCGGGATAGAGAGCAATGTCAGGGCCTCCTAGGAAAGCCGGTGCGGGCAGAGCCGTACTCACCCCCTGCGAGTGCAGGTACTCCACCGTTTTACAGATCGTGTGCAGGACAGAACTGGCCTCCCGCTCTGAGAAAAACTTCTGCCTGAGGATCTTGTCCAGCAGCTCTCCTCCCCGCATCAGCTCAGTCACCAGGTACACGTACTTCCCATCGTCATACACCTACCGGAGCAAGCACAGACGGGGTTAATCAAAACCTGCTTCCTAAACATCCCGTTTGCAGCTCTGCTCCGAAGCAGGCAGATGTCAACCCTGCGGAGGTGGGTTCTGCTGCTCGGATGTAGCCCCAGTCCAGAGCAACATGGTGATGGTTGAGATGGGGTTGCACATGGTGGAGTTGTTACCACCTTGTGCGCAGAGGCCCTTGGCCACTCTGCAGCTCCCAAGCCACGACAAGTTCTTCACGTTACACTCACATCTTTCAAGGTAATGATATTGGGATGCTGCCCGTATCGCAGGAGGATTTCTATTTCCTCAGAAGGGTCTCGCTTGCTCTTGTCAATGATCTGCAAGAGCAAGAACAAGCGTTACCCACACCCGCACGGGAGAGTGGCCAGGACCAGCAAAGAAGCTGAAGCTTTGGGGTGCTACAGAGATACAGGACCGCGTCCATTCCCTGTCTCCTACCCTCTTTAGATAACCTCTAGAAATAACCTTTAGCAATAACCTCTGTTTGCTCTGTCAGTTTTGTGTCTCCAACCCCGAAGTTTCATGTCTAGGCTATTTGTTGAGACAAGAGCCCAGCACAGCAAACGTGCAGAGAGGGGAAACACTGTCCTCCCTCCCCAAGGAAGGGCAGCGCTGCGTCCCCACTCTTCCCAGCTAAGAAAGCTGCACAGAAATTGTTCATCTGCGTCCCACGCAAGAAGGGAAAGAATTCAATCTTGGAGATTATTTTGGCCACTATGGGGTTGAAGAGAAACCCCTGAGGAGAGTTCAGTTCCGAGTGCGAATCTCCAACCTTGACTGCGTACTCCATGTTGGTTGCTTTATGGATGCAGCGCTGACACACTGAGTAGGAGCCCACGCCGATGGCCTCCTTCACCACGTAGCCATCGTTGAACTGGAGGTTCTTGCCGTGCAGCTGCTGCAAGAGGAGAGCAGAGGAGCGGGTGAGACGGCAGCACCGGGTACGGTTTGTGCAACGCGATGAGTTCACTGCAACAGCGAGCGAGCTGGCAGGCAGCTCTGCTGTATCCTGCAGCTTCTGCTCCCCGCACGGGACAGGGAGGAGAAGGGAACAAGGCAAATACAGGTCACTAGGCTAACACTATCTGCAGCCAAGCACCGTGCATCTCTTCAAAGCACAGGCATTTGCACGGACCTCCTGTGAGCCCGTGTCCAGCTAGGGAGAGGGAAGCAAATGGCTCCGAAGCTCCCCGGTGACCTCTGTGCATGATCACCAAGAGAAATGAAAGAAAACAGGATGCAAGGGGTCAAAACTGAATGATTCCCCTCTAAGCCTTTCCTTAAGCTCTCCCTAAAAGAGCACAGGGCTCCTGCAGACCCACACTAGCCCCTGGGGCATTTCCACGCAGAGATCCCCACATTTTACCTGCACCAGCGGATTCAGGGGGGACTGGGCAGGTTTCACCTTGCCGTCCTCCATCAACCCAGTCGCCACGAAGCTGAAGCCGCGGAAGAGCTGATGGGCCCCTGCGCTCGGGGGGATGCCCGGGGAATCTGCAACGGGAGCCGAGAGGCACCTTGAAGAGGTGAAGAGATTGTTCTGCTAGGCAGAAAAAACATTAAAACACACGGTATAACTTCACGCAGGAAGCTCTGGCTGCACTAACTCGTACCAACCTTTTGGTGTACGAGACGTAAACTCTGTGTCAAAGTAAAAGGTGTCATCGGGCTGGCCTACCGCAGGCTTGAAAGGTGGTTTGATTTCCCTTCGGTACAGCTTCTGCAAAACAAACAGCCCCAGTGCTCTGAGAGCTCAACACGCGCGTCGGCGCTCAGGAGGGTGTAATGAGAGACCAGCTATGGTGCTTTTGAGTCATTCCATGGAGAAAGGGGACAAGTTTCTACCATCTACTGTTCCTATGGATGAAACAGGATGTTTCCTTTTCAGAAAAGTTCTTCCTCAGTCCTTTCTATTCTGGGCAAAGCTATCCCTGTTGTGCTCAATCCCAAACTAAAACATGGACTTCCTTTTTGGGAGAATAAATTCCAAGGTGAGCTCATAAGCGACTCGGGCATTAAGGAGTTATTCACATGACAAACAGGAATTTGGGGGGTTGAAATCAGGAAGCTTTCCCTGAGTAGTGAGGAAGTTTTGCCTTAAATTTCTTGACTTGATACTCACATTCCAGTCAATGGTGGAGTAGAAAGGATGGCGCTTTATCTCTTCTGCCCCGTCTGGACCAGAACCTGCAAGACGCACCCATGCAGCGCGTAACATCACATGAGGACCCTGCCCAAGTGCCGTGTGTTGCACACACGCACCACGACCGGGTAGATTATGGGGAATGTGAACCAAGCAAATTAACCCGAACAAGCCCAAACAGGCACCTGCCCCATAAGGATCCGAGAGGCCCAGCTATAGCATTGGGCATAGTCAGAAAGAAAATATGTCTTACCTAATCTGTTGGCTGGATTCCTTTTGAAAAGGGCTCGCAAGAGACTCTGCGCTTCGGAGCTCAGGAACTGGGGCATGCCCAGCTTCGCTCTGGAAAGGAAGTTATGCAATCAGTTGTAGCTCTGCAGAAGTCAACCCACAAGCCAACTGCAGCACCTCCACCCCTGAAAGTGCAATAATCTGTTTGGCATTTATGCTGCAACCTTCGGACGAGCTGTTGATGCAGTAACACTTGCCAAATAATGTCGTCAAGCCCCAAGGTGCAGCAGTTTCTGAGAAAGAGCACTAGGCTCGTCTCACGCACGCACTTACTTGAGGATGAGGGTCATGGTCTCCTTACGGTCCTTCCCCTGGAAGGGCAGCGAGCCCGTGAGCATTTCAAACTGGGAGGAAAGAGAGCCAGGAGAGGTCACACGTCTCAGCAAGCCTAAGGGCTGCACAGGTCCTACTACATCTTCAGTTGGGAACCCTCCGAAACTACTGCAAAGTTTGCTGGAGGGATCAAAGCGAAGCTTAGCTCCAAAAAATATGGTAGCCAACAAGCCACTTTCTCAGAAGGGCGATTGGCTCCGTGTGGTTTGCGGCAGGGATGTGTCTGAGCCACTGGCTGCTCCTCCAGGAGCCATCGCATGCAGTGACCGCCAGATGGTGGCACCAGATCGGCACAACAGCAGCATCCCAGCGCCGGGGGCTGGCGCGGGCACCCCGTGCTGCACCCCCAGGCGCTCTGCATCCCCCAGGAAGCACCTTCCCAGCTGGATCCCTGCACTGCTCGGGCAGAAAGTCCTTCCAGGGAGCTTTGAGAGCATCCCCAGGTTGGTGCATCTGCTGGACACGCAGCATCAGGCCAGGCACCAGATCGGCACAACAGCAGCATCCCAGCGCCGGGGGCTGGCGCGGGCACCCCGTGCTGCACCCCCAGGCGCTCTGCATCCCCCAGGAAGCACCTTCCCAGCTGGATCCCTGCACTGCTCGGGCAGAAAGTCCTTCCAGGGAGCTTTGAGAGCATCCCCAGGTTGGTGCATCTGCTGGACACGCAGCATCAGGCCAGGGTATTTCAGAGCTACCACTAGAGCAGTTCCCATAGAGTAGGTCCCCAGACACGCTAGTCCCGTACGCACCATTAACACCCCGTAGGACCACCAGTCCGCACTGTGCGAGTGGCCCTGGCGATTCACGACTTCGGGGGCCATGTATTCCACCGTGCCACAGAAGGAGTAGGCTTTCTTCTCGTGATCTATAGCTTCTTTACTCAAGCCAAAATCTACGTAAGAGAAAAACTATTAGCACGCACCCAACTGCTCTGATCTACCACGTTGAGCGGAGAAGTCTAAGAGAACCCCCACATTTAGGAACGAAGCTTCCTGGAGCAAGAGGCTGTTGTGGAGTCTCTTACCCGTGAGTTTGATGTGCCCTTCTTCATCCAGGAGGATGCTACAGTGTAAGTGAAAAAAAGCAAGATGTTATTATCTGTAAGAAAGGCTGATGTGCATCACAGCATACCTCAGGCACTGGTCAGAGACGCTCTCAAAACTCCAAAAGAGAAAGTTAACTATCCCTTCCAAGCCCCAAACATTAAACTCCATCATCCAGGCACAAACAGAAGAAAGGGCAGCCCCCCTTCTCTCCACACACACCCCTCCACACTGAGCAAACGGCCCCAGAGGCTGCATCGCCTCTGATCCCCATGTCCCCCAGGTAAGAACCAGCCACGCAGCTGGGACACGTCTCTGCAGAGGCCCCCATGGTGTCTTCTCCCCCCAAAGACTCTCAACTGCTTAAAGCTGGGGCCAGGCCCTGCCAAGGGTTGATGCTCAGACATGCAGTGAACACTTGCTGCCTCCACAGCGCTCCTGGCCACGACTGCTGCCATGAGGAGCACGAGCCTGGGCGACCTGCACTGCTGCTTTCCATTCTGCTGGCCCAGAGCAGCATTCAGCTTTGCCCTCGTGCTGTCCCTTGCCTCCAGACGTGGGAATGAGCTCTAAGAAGCTCGGTTTTGCCACACGTACTTCTCTGGTTTGAGGTCTCTGTATATGATTCCCAGGCTGTGCAAATGGTCGAGCCCTAGAGCCAGCTCTGCCAGGTAGAACTTCACGTCCTCCTCTGTGAACATGACCTGCAGGAAGCAGACAGGCACCAGGGTTACATTCCTGACAGGAGGCCACATCAGGTGCACCCAGGCAAGACCTTTCATATCCATGTTGCCCCATCCTGCTTTCTCAAAACCCAAGTTTCCCAGGCTTTACCTGCCAACCTAAAGCCTCAATTAAGCAGCAACACTAAAAAACACAAACATGGTTGCTAGGCCGCAGACAGGTGTTGAAAAAAAACTCTTAATTGCATTAGAGACAAGAAGGAATGTACCTTGACTGCCTGGCACAGCTTTCATGCCCTACCCTCACCCTTGCCCAGGAAGCAACGCAGCCAGATGACACCACAGCACATTGTGGCACTTGCAGGGGCTCATCTGGCAGAGGACAGGGTTCCTGAGACACCCTCACTTGTTTCCAGCTCTGAGCTAGCTGTGGAATGGAGTGTTTTTCCCAAACCCTTGGAGATTTCCCAAGACTCAATCACCTTTCCGGGCTCAGCATGCGTGAACTGAGAACATGAGCAACCCACCGAGATGCCAGAGCGTACCCACCTCTTTGGAAAGCCGAGTGAAAAGGTCACCTCCTCGGAGGAAATCCAAGATGAGATAGAGCTTCCCCTCTGTCTGGAATGCTGAAACACGAGCCAGGGCAGCAATCAGACCCCTCAGCTGAAGGACGGCTCAACTCTGTTACATTAATCACTTAAGCCCCAATGGCTTCAGTTACGCCGATGCCTGTATGGTTACTAGGTTAAACACAGGTAGGGCTAATTATTTGGTGTAAATGAGATAAGCCTGGCCAGGATGTTGAAACGGGAGCTCAGCAGCAGGACTGACCTTCTGCAGTGTTTGCTCCCTGTCAGACAGCACTGCCCTCCTGAAAGGGCCGTTTTCCCAAGACAGACACCGGTCACTTGACAGGGGAAAAAAAACTTTGCTCTTGCATTAATCCTGAGGAACTCTAGTTTGACCAGTTAACTTTCTCAATTTCTCCTTAATTAATGTCTTAATCCAAAGGATTTGATGGCTAAACCTCTCCTGGGCTATGCTGTTTTCCCAACCAAGAGTGCGCACGGGACCAAAGTCCTTTCGAGGAAAAGATTTGGTTTAAGGGATTGTAAAGGCTCCAGGGCACAAGCGTTTTTCTCCACTGCCGCTATTTCCACGAGGAACCATGACAATCTCTCAGCATCCTCCAAGCAGCTGGATGCCTAACGCTCATGGCAAAGGTGACCCCTCTCCGGGTCCCAGCTGGTTCCAAACTCACCATAGTGAAGTTTCACCACGAAGGGATGGTTCACATCAGCCAGAATGTCCCTCTCTATCTTCGTCCGCATTCGATCACGCACTGTGGGGGGAGAGGAACAGCTCAGGCACTGCAAAAGGCACAAAGTCCCCTGACATCAGCTTGTCCCCACGCTCAAGGCCTCTAGTTCCAGGCATTTTGTCCACCTCCAGCACTGCAAAAACAGTTTCTTAGGGATGCAGAGAAGAGGGCTGTCTAGCTTGGATAAAAACACTTCTCTAGACATGGAGACTGTCACAGGAAGACTCTCCTACCTTTCAGTGTTGCCTTCTTGAGCACTTTCATGGCATAGAGGTGGTTGTTGTCTGGTGGAGTGATTTTCCTCACCAGGAAAACCTGCAGCAGAAGGACACTGTCTCAGAGCTCTGAACATTAACAGAAGGATCTAGATGCCTTCCAAAACCTCAGAGTGACCTGAGAAGCCCCTGGCCAAAGGTCTGTCAAACTCTCCACATGCAGACCTACAAGGTTTGCAGCAAGGTGGTGCACATGGACTCCTCTCATACCATCTTCAGCTGTTCCAGCACTAATGCTTTTACCCTGAACTTCCCTCCTGTCCCATCTTCCACACCTCTCCCTCCCATCCCTGATGTCCTATCCTACCTGGATCTAGACAGCTTTGAAAAGACACTGCCATTCTTTTGAACAAAGCTCACTGCTGTATTTGCACAACAACAGTCCCCAGGGCTACAGAAGCCCTTTGCATTAAGCTAAAGACTTAATGCATGAGCAGACAGTGTGCGAGAGGCCTGGATTATTTGCAAGTTGACACAGATAAGAGTCGCGGGCTACTTCCTTCCCCCTTTACAGAGGGGAAACTGGACCATACTCGAGGGCTGAGAAGAGCCCGTTGCGTAGAGCAGCATTTCTGCTAACAGCAAAGGGCAAGACCCGAGTCCTGCAGGTCCTCAGCTCACCCAAGCAGCCCAGCAGCAGAGCTGCAGGAGGCCCCTCTGCCCAGAACACCCATGTTCACCAGCAGGACCCTACTCCTTTCCTCCCTGTCACAAATACATATACGTTTACTACCAGGGAGCCTCTGGACATCCATCTCTGCAGCTGCCCATTAAGTTAGGAGCAAACGTTTGCTGTGTGGGCTGTTCCAGCCACAATGTGATGAGAATCAGGATAGTGGGGCTGGGAACAGCACCTTCTCGCACCTCCTCTCTCACAAAACTCTTGTCTCGTGACACGCACGAAGCAGTGAACTCACCTTCCCAAAAGAGCCCTGTCCCAGCACCTTCAGAAGCTCAAACTGCGACGGATCAGCTTTCTCGGAGCCCTCCTTCACATGGTGCGTGATGTTGATCTCCTTCACAACGCCTTCGCCCTGGGAAAGGAGACACATGGCTGGGTGAGAACATACTCCTGAACAAGGGGAAAAAAAGCTCAGCCGACGGAGGAGTGAGGATCAGAGCTGCAAACTCGCATGAGCCACACGTGAGAGAACCGTACAAATTGGTGCTTGCCATAGGTATCTCCTGGCTCCAGCATGTGGAACAAATAAATCACAGGTAGCCTTCCACCAAGCAGCCTTGCTCAACATCCTCCACTCTCCCAAACGCTCCGCTCCTTTGTCCTTGTGCCAGAGGTGCTGTATTCCTTTGAACTGCATTTCAGAAGAGTGCTTTGAAAGCACCTTCCTTTTTAAGGTACTGGTGGCAAAAACAGGAGTGTTTATGCTGCTAAAAATCCCACAACACAAAAATACGGCACTGTTGTCAAAACATGGACAGGGCTGGCAAAAATCAGACATGTTGGAGCCCATCTGCTCGGCAATCTGAGCAGCTCCGCAACATAAGTCTTGGTGCATCTTCGGCACATATAGATGATGCTTTTTTAACAGACTCAAGCCTTCAAGAAGATTGAGGGGAAGCCAAGGTCTCTGGCACATGTTTTGTTTAAAACACATTTTTTGTTTTTTTAAAAAATACATATATATGGGAGAAAAAGAGGTCTAGTCAGAAGTAAGTAGAATAAATTCATCCTCAAGGCTAGGCCAGCGCTGTCTGACCAGAGCATGAGATCAGCCACAGACACGGAGGTGACACTGAAGCATTTCCTTCCCCCAGCAAAACTTGCCCGTGGCTGCGGTGCACGAAGCCCAGAATTCAGCTCAGTGGAAGCACCTTGTGCTGCTCTTTGCAGCTCCACAATTACAGCGTTTTATGCCCCTGCTCCTCCTGCTGTGCCTTTCCTTCTACCTCCCTCCGATCAGATGCAGCCACCCTGGTTTCCTCCAGACCAACCAACCCCAGGAAGAGCCTCCGGGCAGACAGGACTCAGCTTGAATCTTAGCACAGCCAGAAAGTCCTTGCAGGCAGACACCTCGCGAGGGCAAGTGCGGGTTCCTTAGCACTCCCGTCCCTCTCCACCCCGTGTCAGACACCGTCTGTTACTGTTTGGACCCGAAGGCAGCAATAACGTTCCAAAGAGCATTAAACCCAGCCGATCGCTGACCCTGGTGCACGTGCAGCCATCAGAGGGTGCCAGAAGGAATTTTTGTTTAGCTTTTCCCCTTCTGGAGGAGTGGAGAAAAGCAATGCTGTTTTCTCCACCGATTCACACGCTTTGGAAGGCTCCTCATCAAAGCAGCGTTTGAGAACAACAGGAACCAGGCTGCAGCCGCTGCCTGCGCGGGGCGCGCGGATGTGGTCGCTACCTGCGCCGCGGCCCTGCGCGCCCTTCCTTTCCCACTGCCCTGCCTGCCTTGTCTCAACATCGGGAGGCAGCTTCGTTTCCAGCTTTGTTTTCTCAGGATCCTCCATTATTTTGGTCCAAGCAGAAGGGATGGCCCAAGCGTGGGGACGCGGTGGAGGGGACCGTGCTGCCTCCACGTTAACCTGCCTCCCAGATCAGACATCACGGACAGGAACGACCTTATAATCTCTCCAGCGTTGAATTTTCATGTTCTGGGAGATCTTTCGGCTCAGTCGGCTCCCTGTGGCAGCCTGTGGCAGCGCTGGCAGCTGGGAACAGGTCCCCTTTTTGAGTCATCAGCCTGGATGGGGTCAACCGGGGGCTCCGTGGCCTCCTTCCCCTCTCGCCATCCGTCCCCCGTCACCAGCCCAAGCGGAGACCCCAGAGCAGTGACAGACGCTCACCAGACCCCTGGACCTGAAACTCCAGGACTTCCAAGTTTGGGAACTTGCTGTGGCTCCAACCACCTGCCCCGTCCACCCACCCGCACACCTGACCAAGACACTCGGGTCCCAGGATCAACCAAACCAGGAGACCGCGCTGCGCACAGCTCCGCGGCGGAGCCCGTCACCACGGACCCACCACCGTGTCCCGCAGCTCCTCAGCGGCCGCGGAGCGACGCGTTCGCACAGCGGAGCAGACTCCTCGCCCCGGCTGATGCAAGGGCCGGGTGTTTGACCGCGGCCGCCCCGCGCTCTCCAGGCAGGCCGAGATTTGCATGGGGATCCTGCCAGCCCCAGCAAACGCGCAGCCCTGCCAGCTACACCCGGAGTGGCACCTACTGACACGCTGCCCGCGGCTTGCTGAGAGCGAGCTCCGAGACGCCGCCTGGCACCGTTCCCATACGGAGGAGGTTTCCTCAGCCAGGAACTTGCAATTGGATCGTTCTGGTGATGGCCACCAGACCCTACAGCTCAGCAGCCCTCCGGCTCCCTGGTGTCCTGCGTGTCACTGATGCGCAGCATCGTCAGGCTTGCCTTGCACCGAGAGAAGTTCCTTAGAGTGGCACCACTAAGCAAAATATTACGAGAGGAAAACAGGAAAGAAGCAAAGGCAGGATTTCCATCCACAGCCACATCCGAACACCCACGGGAAGCAGCAGTGCCCATAGAGGAGCCGTTCGCCCCGCACGCCGAAGCCAAGCGGCCGCCGAGCCAGCCTCTCCATCCTCCCATGCCGATCACCATCGCCCGGGAAGCGCGAGCGCCGCGGGGGCTCCCGTGAGGCTGCGCGGCCGCCGCGAGCGCGCGGCCGCGGGACGCAGGAGACGCAGGTGGTTAAAGCGCCGCTGGCAGATGCGCAGAGCGGACGCGGGCGCACGGGGAGGCAGGTTCAACACTCCCACTCCCCAGCAACAGCGCTTGTGGTTGGGGCTTTTTTGTGTGTGTTTTTTTTCTTTCTTTCTTTCAGAAAAAAAGAAAAACACCTCGCGGCTCCTCGCTCACACTTGGTTTCCCTGGCTGGGACAAGACGCTTTCTGCCAAAAGTCGTGTCCTGGCTGCTTCAAGCAGCCTGACTTCATTCAGCGTCGTGGCAGGCTGCGAGCTGGGGGCATTGGCCCAATGGGAATATTCTGGGAAGTCGCTCGCTCTTCACAACAGGACAAGAAATCAAACCCACCACCACGCAGGAGCCTGGCAGCACTTCGGAAAGCTGCACGTGTCTTTGCCCTTGATGGTGGGGCATCCATGGCGGGATTCACCATCCCGCAGGATGGCGGGATTCACCATCCCACAGGATAGCAGGATCACACATGGTGGGATTCACCATCCCACAGGATAGCAGGATCACACATGGTGGGATTCACCATCCCACAGGATAGCAGGATCACACATGGTGGGATTCACCATCCCACAGGATGGCAGGATCACCCATGGCGGGATTCACCATCCCATGGGAAAGCCTTTGGGCATCGCATCCGCTCTAGGATGTCTGGCCGGGTGACTTCACTTGGTGCTTTATCCCGGGCCTGGCAGGAGACGTTCCCCATGCTAGGGAACCCCACACAAGGTATTTTTAATGGTGTTTCCAAAGCAGACAGGCTCTGATCCCACTGCTGTTCAGATTTACTGCCATGACGACAGCAGGTCTTTACATTCCTTGGTTTTCTGTTTGTTTTTTGTTTTAACTTTTAAACCAACCCTATTTCTTCCGTCCCCCTCCAGGCTTGTGCTCCCCCCTGACCTTTTCACTGGGTCAGGAAAGATATTTTGCAGAGTGACACCCTCAAAAGTGCAGACAAGAAAGAACCCCCTTGAAATGACTAAGAGGCTGCGCAGTCACCCTTGACATTCCCCCCAGCCCCGTGTCACACGGATTTCTGAACGTCTCCAGAGCTCAGAGTTTGCAAAGAGGATCTTGATTCGGGCCCAGAGGGACTGACTGCTCGTGACTGCCTGTCTTCTCCACCCCCACACTGCGATCGCTGATAACCCAGAACGAAAGCAGCAAATGACTTAATGCCGGAGCACAGCTGGCCCCGGCTCAGCACGGGGCGTCTGCAGGAGGCTCCGTCCTTCCCGACACCTCCTTCGTCCCCAAAGAGTCCCCGTAACCGGGGATCCCCTGGGTCTGCAGCCCGAAGATGAGCACCACCACCACAAGGCAGCTCTAAGCTGCTCCACCAATCCATGATGGGCACCTGGGGCTGTTTCTCTAAGATCTGGCAAATTTTGTCCCAGCTAGGAAAAAGCAACGTCTTCTGCCATCCAGCTGGGGGAGAGAAGCCTTTAAAAAGCAACCCAAGAATCCTTTAAAAAGCAATCCAAAATCCACTGCATGCGGTCGCCTCTAAGAGCCCGGAGCCCCAGCGAGCTGACAAGATCAGAAAGCCGCAGAAGGAGACAAGACCCATCATCAAGCAGGAAGGGGTGCGGGCTGGGAGGAAAGAGGAGGAGGATGAAGGCAAGACGAGGGCACCACGTGGGCGAGTGACTAATAGCTGCTTTTGCAGGAGCATCTCTACCCAGCGGCGACGGGCCAAGAGCGCGCAGCAAAAACGCGACACGGGTTCTGGCACGCGATGCTCGCGCCCCCTCGGCGGTGCCCGCGCGCCCGACCGCCCGTCGGGGCACGAGGTGACAACTCCCATGAGGCGGCCGCGTCCGCACGGGCTCTTACCTGGTCTGCCGGGATCACCAGCTCTTTCTCTAGCCACGCGATGTCGGATTTGGCCTGCGGAAGAACAAACAAGCGTCAGTGGCTGGGCCTTGTTAAGGGTTTCCCAACGAGCTCCTTTAGCAGGAGCGGGCAAGCGATCTCCAGAGTCACAGGTCCATCCCAACACACGTCCATCCTCGGGATGCGATTCCGGGCAGCGGTTCTGCCCAGAGGAACCCACTTGATGAGCCCATACAGGGAGAGATGCAGAAACATCTAAAAGGAGCTGAGGAAAGAGCCATATTTCACCTGGGATTTGGCACTCTCCCCTCCCCAAAACTCAAGGCTTAAGGGAAGAAGCAAATGTTTGGAAGGTCAGATTCAGGCTCCCCAAGCCTGCTCTTTTTTTTTTTTTTTTTTTTTTTTTTTTCTCACACTAAAATAAAATAAAATAAAATAAAATAAAATAAAATAAAATAAAATAAAATAAAATAAAATAAAATAAAATAAAATAAAATAAAATAAAATAAAATAAAATAAAATAAAATA